TTATAAAATAAAAAAATGTGACATTTGACGGTGACACACAGTTTCCCCTATAGTTTCATAGATGGCGCTCTATACAAATTTTTGATTTAAATCATTTTAAGATGATAATATTAGAAAAAGTATTATACTATAATAGTATGAACCTCGTTTATAAACTTATCTATGCACTCATTAATTTAAGCACTCGCTCGTAAGCTCGCTCGTGCCTAAATTAAATTCGTGTATAAAATGGCGTTTATCAAACTTGATACATAATATACTATTATGCAACATTTTTCCCATAGAGGGCGTAGGAGAGTAACTATAAAAAAACGGGTCAAAAAAACACCCACTTTTTAATCTTTTTAGGGAAATGAGATGTGATAAATACGAAAATACCCCATTTAAAGCAATGATAGAATCGTAAAAGATAAAACTAGAAACAATAGAGACAGACTTGCATGAAAATACGATTTTACACAACAACTTTATCAGAGGATATTGAAGTAAACATAAATTAATAACAGTTTTTTTCATCAATTTTATATTATAAAAAATAAGCAATATAACAGTAAGGTAAACATTAAAAACCGTTTTAAAATTGTACAGTTGCAGTTTTAACTGTATATCAAGAAAAATACTATTGTTACACAGTTAAAACTGCAAATTTACAAATAGTACCCACTTTAAAAAATAAATAAAAATAAAATTAAAAAATTAAACAAAAAACAACTTTTTTCCTGGACTTTCCAGGAAAAGTAAAAACTACAATAATTATTTTTTTTTATTCCTCATTTCCATCAGTAGTTCAAATCTCCTGTTGCTTCTGACACCAGTGAAAACTTTCCTACGCTTTTCCATAGAATTTCTGACGGGTCTGCTTTTAGTAATAATAGCCTTGACTTGTTCTTGCTTTGTGGAATTTTGATCTGTCCTGAAACCGAACCTTGTGACCTGTTTGCCAGTTGCTTTCTGTCCTTGAGCTAGTCTTACCGAAATTTGCGATGTAACTGTTTTTTGTGTAGGGGGATTGTTCTTGGTTTTGCTGATATTGGAATTTGTTCTTCCTGCTTTTGGTGTTCCGTTATAACCCGAAAGTAACATTTGGGCGCGCTCCTTTTTACTCTTTTGCATTTGTTTTACATCCTCGACTTTACTTAACGCCCTTTTATGTATTAAAGCAAAGTTTGGTATTTTAGTAGGCATTATTTTCTTATTGGGGTCACTAGAAACGTTATTGGACACATTATTAACACTTATTTCATTTACCAATATCCTTTTTTCAAGTGTTTTCTTGAAGATTTTCTCTTTTTTATCTTTTGGAGTACTTGTGCCACTGGGAGGGGTCTGTACCTTCGCCTTTAGTCTCTTTAAAAACGGCGTAACGTGTTTGGAAACATTTAAAGCTTTTCCAGCTTCCTCAAGCACCTTTTGGGGCGATTTGGCCGTCTCTAAACAACCACCTAACAATTTGATCGATTCATCCAGACTTAAATTATGATTATTCCCTGGTGTCATTGTCATTGATTCGGATATTATAGAGATATCATCTTTTGTGAAACTTGATGATCTTCTGGATGGACCTGGCAAATTTTCCAATTCTTTTTGTGTCACAGTGAAACGGGACAATTTTCTAGTTTCTTCAGCTAGCGGCAAATTTTCCACTTCGGCATTTTGACCAGTTGACAGAATCTCTTTCATTTCTATTTCACCAGAAGCAATTGTAAAACTTAAAGACTGTCTTCTTGGTTCCTCTGAATAAAGAACAGTAAAACTCGCCGACTTTCTTTCTCCTGAAGAAGGCACATTTTTATTTTTCAAAGTAAAACTAACACTTGTTCTCGAATTTTCTTCAACATCAGTTGGTATTGCAGATTTTTTTGTGGGTTTTCCAGGAGTTGTGGTTATCGATTTTTCTGGTGTTTTTTTGCTAGGAACTGTAAGGGATGTCGATTCCTCAGGAGTTTCAATTACTGCTTCATTTATTAATACAACCGCCAGTTCTTTATTCCATCTCCTTCTTTTAGTTTTCTCCACTATTATTGAATCCTCTTCCATTTCTTCAACTTTGCTTGGGCCAGGTTTTTCTAAATTCCAAGTTCTTCTTGTTTTAGTTTTCTTCTTTATTGTTAAATCCCCTTCTTTTTCTTCAATGTTGCTTGTGCCAGGTTTTTCTATATTCCAAGTTCTTCTTGATTGAGTTTTCTTTATTATTGTTGAATCATCTTCTTTTTCTTCAATTTTGTTTTGGTCATGTTTTTCCTCGGGTTTTTCTAAATTACAAGTTCTTCTTGTGTTCACTTTTGGTGAAGTTTCTTGTGTGGAAGTCAAAGATCTGGGCAACTTTAGTAGTTTTTCTTTAATTTTTGGCGAAATTTCTCGAGTGATAGTTGAAAATCTTATATTTTCTTTGTTGGGCGCTTTCTTTACTTTTGGTGAATCCTCATTAGTGAATGCCAAAGATCTAGTCATCATGGGTTTTTCTTCAATTGTGGCTTTCTTCACCATTGGGGAATCTTCTTGTGAGAAAGCCAAAGATCTAGTAAACTTGGTTTTATTTTCAATTGCAGTTTTCTTAACTCTTGGTGAATCTTCATTTGTGAATGTCAATGATCTAGTTAAGATGGGTTTTTCTTCAATTGTGGTGTTCTTCACCATTGGTGAATCTTCTTGTGAGAAAGCCAAAGATCTAGTAAACTTGGTTTTATTTTCAATTGCAGTTTTCTTTACTTTTGGTGAATCCTCATTTGTGAATGTCAAAGATCCAGTCAACATGGGTTTTTCTTCAATTGTGGTTTTCTTCACCATTGGTGAATCTTCTTGTGAGAAAGCCAAAGATCTAGTAAACTTGGTTTTATTTTCAATTGCAGTTTTTTTTACTTTTGGTGAATCTCCATTTCTGAGGGAAATCTTCCTTTGTACTTCACCTGGTATTGTTTCAGGGCTTGAACATATAGAAATAATGGAAATATTTTCTTCCTTGTTTTCATTTACTTTGTCATAAGTTTTTCTTCTTACTTTTTTTGGTTGAGTTGATTTTCTTGTTTTTGGAGGTGTAGAACTCTCCAAGCTTCTAGAGCGTCTTTTCTTCAATGCGCTTTGGGACCTGTGCTTTGAAGATAGACTTCTTCGAACAGGTGTTCCTGTTTTTAAAGATTCCACCAGTGGGTTACATGGTGGAATTTTTTGTCTAGCTGGAGGATTTGTAGATTCTTCTTCAGTACTGCTTTTATCATCCACAAAAACAGTTTTTATTTCTTTGTTGGTCAAAGGGGAGGATATTGCCTTTTGACTTATTTTTCTATGATTTTTTACTGATTCCACCTTTGATTTATCAGTTTCTGTGTCACTTTCACTTGTTTTTAAAGGCTCAATGTTTTCTTTATTCTTTAATACCCTCTTCTTTTTTCTACCTCCTTTCTTGAGCACTTTTTCATGCTCAGAAGATGTACTTTCTTCAATCTCTTCATCTAAACCCATATTAATATTCGGCAGAAACGCTTTTTTATGGTTTTCAGTCCCTGTAACATCTTTTGAAGACATTTTATAGTTACTGTAAAAAAACCAAATTTAACCTTAAATTAACTAAATACAAATAGAATGTACCTTAATTTACCTTAAAATAACTTAATTGAACCACTAATTACATTAAACATGCGATTTACAGCACAGTTCGCAAACAGCTTTTATTTCAAATGTGACGGTTACAAAACTTGCAATCTCATTGACTAAAACGTATTATTACAGTCTTTTTATGACATTTAAATAAAGACAATTGTCTTTATAAATTTTATTCAGTGGAAAAAACATAACCTCAATTTAAAGTCAAAATGAATTATTTGTTGAGAATCGTAAAGAACGCCCCTAATATTAAAAATATACGGGCTGTGTGTCTTTGACGGCACAGTTAAATTTAAAAGAAAGTAAGTAATATTTCAACCTTTAAATAATTGAAATATACAAAAAACTTATTTTTAGTTTGTTAGGTGCAAGAAGACTATAAACGGTGACCGAAAACCGAAAACGAACGAAAACCGAAAACCCCATGTTTGCCCTGTGTGCTTTGGGAATGAAAGTGAAACATACTGATGCGTTAATTTTAAGTCAGTTTTTTAAGATTAGATGGTTGTAGTATGCTGCTGAAAAGAATTACAGGGTTTTGTAATAAGCAACAGAAGAAAATGTTTGATGTCGAATTTAAACCTTGCGAATAGTAAAAAAGATTTCACTGGAAGAAATATAATAAATACTTAGATAATTTTGTAAATAAGGATTATTATAAGTTTTATTTATTGTTCACAAATATAAGGCAAACTGCTTATTTTAAACTTAATTGATAAAAGAAATACGAACTCCATAATACCGCTTCTTGGTATTTTACTGTTGAGTGGAGACTTTCCTAATCAACGCTTTTAATAATGCTAAATGCTGTTTAAATTTAGACGACTTATTCGTTTGACGATTTTTACTGAATGGAAATGTTTACCCTTTTCACGTTAATCATTACTAAAATGTGTTTTATTGTATCTAATAGGTACAATTTATATTTACATTTTGTATAGGTAATAAAATATTTAACTGTTTCATAAATGGAACAAGTTTTTGTTCTAAACGTAAATAGAGTGGTAAAAAAGAATGGCAAAACATTTAACATTTAAAGTTAAATAATTAATTAGTATGTTCAAGGTCCATTGGAATACTAGGTAGTTAAGGTAGAATATTAAAATTATTAAGTTTGATCAAAGGTTAAAGAACATTATAAAATTTAATTTAATTTGAAATATATAGGAAGTAACTTAAATATCACTTCATTTCTTTTGAATTTTATAATAATTATGAATGAACTTCATTATAAATAATAGTAAATCAAAGTTAAACAAAAACATCAAATTGTAAAATCAAAGGTGGCATAGAAAAACCACCTTATTTATTTATAATTAAATTACGGAAATGAGATTTAGATAAAGCGCTTGTAGATCAATAAACATAACCTAGACAAACAATAAATATGACCGACTTACCATAATCCTAATAAATCATGCAAACGTCGAGACGTCACACCTCCAATCAAGACGAAAAACTATTCACCAGAATTCCAAACAAATTTGTCACCGAACGATAACAACGAGCAGCTGATTGCGACTGCCTGAAAATAAAATCAAGTGCACTGAGCCAGTTGTGCCAACCTAAATACCAAGAAGCTGTACAACTCGCCGTGTGAAATCTGGTGATTTCCGCTTCTTCGTATTGGCGATCAATAAATTCGCGAGGGGTGTTTTCTTGTTTGGAAAATGTGTAGATGTCAAATCTGACAGTAGTGAATGTTTCAAGTGCAATAATATGGAATTATGTACAAAAACGGGATATCTATTGTATGCTTAGTAGTGTTTTTTCTTGAAGCAAACGGTAAGCGCTTGTTTATGACTAAATTTCAAAACTTTTTGGTGTAAAATTGTTGAGTCATACTTTTTAGAAACACCTTTATGCAACTTAAGACTAAAAACTGATTTTTAGGTGCAAAATTACGAGAAGTTTCGGTTGATTTAGGTCAAAACTTGACTGTACCATGTCCCATTCACAAAACACAGGATGTAATGTGGGTGAGGGAGGAGGAAAAGGAAGAGGGGTCACAAAGAATGACGGTTCTGGAAAATGGGGCCCTTTTTATCTTTGCAGTTGACAGAAATGACTCTGGAAATTACACATGTAGCAGGGAGAATATCGTCAACTCGGATGTGAGAGCAACAGTTAAAATCACAGTTAAATGTATGTAAAACTGTCTTTAACTTATTTATATTCTTCTTGTTTGGGGTTAATATACAGGGTGGCCAGAAATAACAATAACAAAAAATATGAAAAATGTACATTTAACAGAATTTCTATAAAGTTTAAAATATTTTTCTAAAAAAATTAAAGTGAGGTTTGTTAATGGCAACTATTTTCTGGGTTGCCTACATTCAAGCTCCGTTATTTTTCCTGGGACACGGAATTTTTTATGCATGTTTTCTGGACATCCTGTTTAGTAGGGGTTATTCCGTTTTAGCGCCTCCGCCTCCTCTGTTAAACGTCTCGGTGAGACCGAGCACGATCCTGGCCCTCATTTTGTGGGACGTCGGGGGTAATGGAGGTTACCCAATTATTAATTTCACCGCTCAGTACCGACTGGCTTACGCCGGCGGAAACTGGCTACCCATTTCACCCAATCATATCACACCAAACTCTGTAAGTTCTCGGCGAACTGTAGTTTGAGTTTTCTTTTCTTTTTGCATGAGGTTAGGTGTGTAGTTTGTCCGTCTTATTTTTTGAGTGTCTTTTCGGATTGTTTTTGTAATAATTAATACGTTTTTAGCGACAAATAGAAGTCTATAAACTCATACCAAACACAACCTATGAATTTAGAATATGGGCCACAAATCAACTAGGTAGGGGGGAGGTTACTGATGTTATGGGTACTACCCTTGATATTTACCAGGAACAAGGTAATGTGATAATATTAAATTATGTACTACCAAGCAGCATTTAATAAGTTATAAATAACTACATGTTTCCTTATTGGTTTGACATAAAAAGCTAGGCCTTCTAAATATTCTAATGTTTTCTTAAATATTTGTTAAAAATGATTACCTATAAAAATAATATTCAATAAATATTGAATAACATTAAATGAAATTTTCTAATAATTTAATATAGCATCTTTCAAAATTTTTGACTTAAGGTTATTATTAATAGTTTCTATACCACTTTAATTAAACCTTAAACATTTCTCAGACAAATAGGAATTATTTACAGTTATAAAGTGCATGGTTTTAATACAGTTAAAATATGACAGGTAGTTTAGTTTTGAGTATGGTTTCGTGTGTCGGAAAAAAACTGAAACTAATTACTACACATAAATTTTCAGAAAAATTTACTTTTGCATTTTTTTCGTATTATTTGAATAAAATTTAAAGAATTAAATAGTCAATTTTACTGAAAATTTTTTTTCGTTTTTTTCGGAAATAAACGGTTTTTTTCGCCAGCTCAGTTTTTCCCGAAATTTTAAAACATATTTACTCAAATAAATAATAAAGTCGAACATTTTTCTTCAAATGCTGCTTGTGTATGCTGCACATCAAAAAATCCCATTTTGACATTTAAATCCAGTCAAATAAATGAGGTTATGTAGTTTAACGCGTCTTATTTTCTTTTTATAATACAATAAATGTTATTTTTTCTGTATAATAGTATATTATGTATAAAGTTTGATAAACGCCATTTTATACACGAATTTAATTTAGGCAGGAGCGAGCTTGCGAGCGAGTGCTTAATTTAATGAGTGTATAGAAAAGTTTATAAACGAGGTGCATACTTTACTTTTTCTACGACAAATACTTATTATTATCTTAAAATGATTTAAATCAAAGATTTGTATAGAGCGCCATCTATGAAACAATAAGGGAATCTGTGTGTCACCGTCAAATGTCAAATTTTTATATACTTTATAAACACAATTATAAAGGTTATAAATCGAAATGTTTTTCTTGAAAATTGACAGTTTTTCACAGTGAAAGTAAAGAAAATGTTTTATGAACACTTTACATTGGAGTCCGTACCCGAATTTAAGTTATAGTTTACTGTTCATATAAACTTTTCAAATATTGGCGTTGAGAAACTATTGAATACTTGTGTATTTTTGTATTGAGATAATAAAATAATTTTCACATTTAGTAATATTTTACAAGAAAGGCACTTTATTTTAACGATTGTATGACTGTCAAGTAACTAACTTCAGCCCATGACTAAAGCGCCATAAAGCCACAACTTGTCAATGTGTATTTAAAAGATCACTTAGTGTCATGGAAACATATCCGATAAATGGCGTTTTAAAGGTGGGAGTAGAAAAAGGTATTAATTTACCTATAACACAAAAAACACATATATTGTATTATTTTCAAAAATTAGTCGAAATTAACGTTAAACATAACCTCAATTATTCGCCTGCATTCGTTATTCAAATGTCAAAGTGGTGTGGAGCATAGCATTGTATTTATACTCTAATAACTTTTTTAGAGTTAGCAAGGCATTTATTAGAAGGTGCCGATAAGTTTGACACAAGAGTTTGGGCGGTTGCAGTCGGTATAGTTATGGGAACGTTAGTTTTGCTAGCATTTGGAACTTGTTTTTTGCTGTACCAAGAATGCAGAATGGCCACAGGTAAGAAAATATATTTCCCTGCGTTACCTCACAATTTTTTTCTGTAATATTCGTTTAAATACTATTACTGGGCCCCTAACCTCAAAAATGTGCCATCTCAATAAAATCGCGTTTTTAGTTATCGAAGAGCAAGAAATCATCGAACTGGTTCCCAATATAATTTTGAACCCGGGTTTTGACGGCAACGCTCAGCAACAAAACGAAGCGAACATGCCCGCTGACGAAAATTCGAACAACGAGACGCCCATGCGTCTCAACAACAACACCGTGGTCCAGCCGAGGGTGGTGTAGGGTACATGTATACAGGGGTAACAAATAAAACTGAATTTTCGTAAACGATCCACCGAGACAAATCAAATTCGAATAGTCGATATTATTATTACTTTCGTAACAAAACAAGGTTCAAATCGGTTGACCAATACTGTTGTTCATACACTCCAAATGTGATGTTTTTGTTTTTACTTCGGTTGCGTGTTTTTTGTTTACTTATTAAAATTCATAAATTTTACAGAATATCGATGAATTTTAGTAAGAAAACAACTAAAACTAATTTTGTTGATATATTTTTTCTAGTCAAACATCATCTCATCTCATATCAGTAAAGCTTAGTTTTTTACTTGATAGATAATTTATTTTCCTAAGAAATGCTTCCACTTAATTCGAAAACTATTATGCAACATATTTTTCATTGTGTAAACTCATTGATGGTAATATTTTATTTTTTTAGAATATTACATATCTGTATTGATTGACAAAGACTTAGCTGGCAATATCATTATTGATTTGATTCCAATGAACAAAATGTGTTGCCTAAAATTAAGAGGGATTATCCTATTTTTGCGTTTTGGTCATTTTTATTTCGCATTCGCAAATTAAAGCTATCCGAGTTGCAGAGAAAGGAAAACAGCGCCCCTATACGTACATTGGGGTAACATAAACTGGCAAGTTCGGATAGTTTTAGTTTTGGAATGTTTTTCGAGATACCAAGCACTAAAGTGTTGTGAAGTTCGTAATCACAAAATTTCTAGACTAGACCTCTAGTTTGGCGATTTTTGTTGAGTTTAAAAGCGATCAGAAAAAAATAGTTACTTAACGAGGTTGTGCCCCATTAGAATGGGGGCGAATATTATTGTTTCCACATTATATTGTACATTTAGTCGCAGATTTAGCTCAAAAGTTTTTATTAGAAAACCTGATGCTCGCTTTATAAACGCTTTTAATTTCATCCTGTATTAAAGAATATGTATTAGAAAAAAATTAATAAGTAATGAAATTATCAGTGCCTAAAATAGTTTTGATAATAGGGGTAGCTTAAAGCACTTTTGTGACAAATTCGATGAAAGAGTCGGTACAGGTTTAAAAAACTTTATTTCATGAATTTTCGTGAAAAAAATTGTAGGTTTTGGGCCATTACACATTTTTCAATATTTTTGAAAATTTGATACAATTTTTTATGTTTCTTTAATACCTTTAAATTCAAATTAATTTTTCCATACGTTTTTGTATTACATAGCATGATTATAAAAGTAACATTTTTTTAACACAAATCAATTACAAAAAACCAAAACCTATAGATCTTTTGTGCTAAGCTTTTTAAACTTGTATCAATTCAAAAACCACAGACTGATTTTTTAATTTTTATTGTAAATTTGTGAGAGAAAAAATCGATGATACGCCATTGTTGGACCACGTACATAGTATTGATTTATAGTATTTGTGCTTTTATGTCCGGCAGTGGTCATAAGAACATATATGATTATACACTGCGTGTCAAAATTAACGCATAATAAGTAAAAAAAAATAACTCTAAAACGCCTTTACCAATCTTTATGAAATTTTGTATTTGATTGGTAAAGGCGTTTTAGAGTTGGATTTTTGTACTTGTTATGCGTTAATTTTGGCTCGCAGTGTATATATTTTTTTAATTCCAACGATATTAAACAATGTTGTGGAGTTAAAAAAAATCTAGTCATACTAAACGAAAAATATAAATTGTTGCTGTAACAGATTTAATTATTTTTTCAATCAAGAATTTAGAGGTGAACTTATATTAAAAAAAACATAAGAAATCTGTTGCAGAGATTTAGTACCAAAGAAAATAACGTGTATATAACATTGAACAATTTTAGTTTAAAATATATAACGCTGTTTTTAAACGTATTTATATGATAACATGCTTTATATGAGAAAATGATTTTTGTATTGTAATTATGGTGTACATGTCTATATTGTATTGTATGTAAAAAATTTTGATGTGACATAGTTTTTTTAAGATTGGAAAAACCGTATGCGTTCAAAAAATGTTTCTTTTCGTTTTTAAGGCCTAACCATTTAATAATCTACATATTTAGTTGGGCACATTTAAAGGTAAACAAAAAAAATGAATTTTTAAGAAAGAAAGAAAGCAACATTAAAATATTACCATAATAAAAATGTTGTTGCATTCTTAAATTTTTAAAATTGTCGGGTTAATTCATTTTTGCGGTATCTACCAAAACTGAATATTCAACTACCTGTTCTTAAATATCTTTTTACATAAGGCTATTACTAATATAAAAATATAATGCACCATAAAGAGTTTATTTTTAATTAAAATAAAAGCACACTTTATTGTATTAAGGTCTACAAAATGCGTTTCACAAAAACAAATTTCGGCTTGTTTTTGTAAAACAATCTTGTACTATTCAACATATACTCTCTGATGATTGCTTCCTACAATAGGTTATATTTAAATCGCTTTGCTACAAGCTTTATTAAGGTTAATAGTTCTTCCACAGAATATTTTTGTTAGTTGAAAATATTTTTAGTGGGTTGTGTTCCATAAAAGATGTAAATAATTTTATTGTACATTCTGAGAAGTTGATTGCAAAAAGATTATTTTAGTTTGTATTTTTATTAATATCTAGGCGTTTTACTTTATAATATATTATACAGGTGCCTAACACTATTGCTTTTATACAAAAACACTGCCTCTATGAACCCGAAAATTAAATAAAAAAATATGTTAATCTTTGAAACTTTTAACTACTTTCCATAGAAAGCTATAAACCAATCAGAGCACAGCATTCTCCACTGCACACAGATATTTTAGAAAAAGTGATTTTTAAATTTAATTTTGGGGCTCACGGTTAACTAACTAATCACAAAATGTAAATAAACATTAATTTAGTTTTAATTGGCGAAAATGCACAATTTTGTTAAGTTTGTTGCGTTATTTTTTGATCTCAAAATTATGGAACGTGTTTCAATGTTCTGTTAAGTTATAATCCCAAGACGGTTGTGATATTATACCTGGTGTGAATATTTATTGGCATTTATTATTATTTATTGAAAATTATTATTGTATTTGGCATTTTTTTGTGTAACGTTTTGCTTGACGCCTTCAAATAAACATACATAAACGAAAATGCTTCTTATTTATTTGTTTCTACAATTTTTTGAGAAAAATCGTTTATTTGTCGATTTTTGTGAATATCAGTATATTTAGTAGTTCAAATACAACACAAATCAAGGATACCTGTAGACGGATAGGCGACTTCCTATACTCTAGGCATATAATGTGGACTATTTTGCTTGGTTTAAGTACTTTATTTTATCAGCAAAAGGAACAAGGCTATTGGAAAGAAAAGTTTACGTCACGAAAAACCACCGGGAATTCATACAGCACGCTTTTTTAACGGATCCTGTCATAGGTATCCTTGGTTCGAATCATAGCAGTTGCAAAAGATTGAGGTTAAGATTCCCAACCTCAATCTTTTGACAGTGGCGTGTTTTGAAATTCAGCAAAATGGCACAAGGCAAAATAAAAGTAAAAACAAAGGTGCCCAACGCAAAAACTAAAAAGCAAAAAGGCGGTGCGAATACTAAACGAGCCAGTGAGTAAAATTAACTAATAACTTGCTGTAAATCTCATAATTGTGTAATTTGTAGACCGTCCAGTGCCAAAAAAGAAGTCGGAAGAGACGCAAAGAATAAAACAGATCATCAGTAAAACAGTGAATAAAGCAGTGGAGGAAGAAATGAGGAAAAGATCGGAAAGCGGACAAAAATCATTGTCAAACGCACAGAAAGCTGTAGCCGCACATAATTCTAAAGCTGGGTCAAGTAAATAAGTGAATTGTTGAGTATTAAGTAAGTTTTAAGCTAATAATGTTGTTTGTATTAAAGGAAATAAAACATGTTTATTTTAAATATTTTTATTTTAGTGGAAGCTCGGTAATAAATATAACAAAATGGCACCTATTGCTAAATTAAAATCACTGTTTTTAAGTAATAATTACATAATAATACTTTTGTTATGAAGGGGATGCCACCTAAAAAATATATTATTAGTGGGTATTATTTAATTTTTTTTAAATTTCTCTTACAATTAAAAGGTGCCCATTTTTGTCCTTGTGTATATTTTGAGGCTGTCCAACTGTAACATCGATAAAACCTGTTTTTCCCTGTTTCATTGTATGTTTGATTCTACAAAAAATTCGTTAAAATTATTGACTTATTATGATTATACATCAATACTTACGGTGACTCGCTTATAACAGTCAATTGGCTATTTTTCTTGGTTGAATATACTATAGTGGTCATTGCTTCAATTAAATTGGGAACCTCTAGGATAATATCACCTTTTTGTTTTTTATACAAGTCTTCAGGTAATATAACCAACACCATTTTGTCATTTTCTGAAGTCACCAAAAATTGAAGGTCTTTTAGATTTAACGAGTGTTTTACTTTTAATCCTTTGGTCAGGTCCAGCACATAGAAATTGTGGTTTGTTATTAGGATTGTGTAGTTTCTTGGTTTGTAACCATGTCTGTCATATTTTACCACATCACTTAAGTACTGAAAAGAAAGTGAATATTATATTGTTTTTTTTTTTCATTAAATTTTTAGTTTTTACCAATTTTTTGTCACCATTCATAAGAGTCTGGAGCCCATCTGTGGCAGTATTAGGTCCTGAAAGTCTTTCTTGAACAAACTTCTTGCAAATAGTTTGCGGATAATTCTTCTTTTTATCTAAAATTATACAAAATTAAGACCAGCAAACAGTGAAACAACTTTTTGGCACCTTTAAACAATTTCTCAGCCAAAACTTTCATTTCAAACTGTTTCAGCATTTCAGGGTCCAAATTGAGCCTGTAAACTCTGGAAAGGTACGCGCCATGCATTTTGTACAAGATTTCCGAAGTTTCCTTGCAAACGTATGGATGCTTAGGCCACGTTCTGTTCAATAAACTCGCTGGCAAGTTTTTGGCCAACCTGTTCAAGTACTGTGCTTTCGCAATCTGTTCGAATGCCGCGTTGTCAGCGTTTGGTGCATCGTTTCTCGTTATGAAACCCTTGATAAACCTTAAACAAATCATTAATTTCTTTAAAATACTAAACAATAGACTGGACCAAAAAAATCAACTATTTTTTTAAAAAGTATATCGAAAATATGGTTTGGGGTGACAAAAAAAAATTATTGTGAAAGTTTGAGTCCATAATATTAATATTAAGAGGTCTATCATCGCAATTTTAGATTTTTTTTTCCTCAGCAAGTTTTAGACTCAGAGCTCCCAAACCATTGAGTTTAACAAAATTGACTTGAAAGTATTTTTTTAAGAAAATTAAATGATCTACAAAAAAGGTTAAAGTGAAATTTTCCGTCAGATGAACCGTTTCCTTAAAATCATGCCTTAAAAATTGGTATTGTTTTACATTTTGATCTTTTAAATTGGAATTTTGTAATTCATGTAAAAATCAGTACCCATAAAAAACCGATAAATATTCTTATGGGAAATCAAATGCTTTACAAAAAAGCCTCTTAACATTTTTGGCTAAATTCACTCAATCAAAAGTTATTCAAGGTTAAAATTTCGTTTTGACTTCAAATTTAACCTTTAATAACTTTTGATGGAGTGAATTTAGCCAAAAATGATAAAACACTTTTTTTGTAGAGCATTTGATTTCCCATAAGAATATTTATTGTTTTTTTTTTCAGGGTACTGATTTTTATTTGAATTACAAAATTCCAAAGTTAAAAGATCAAATTGTAAAATTATACCAATTTTTAAGGCATGATTGTAAGAAAACGGTTCATCTGACGGGAAATTCCAATGAAACCTTTTTTGTAGAGCATTCAATTTTCTTCAAAAAATATTCTTAAGTCAATTTTGTTAAACTCAATGATTTGGGAGTTCTGAGACAAAAACTCGCTCAGGAAAAAAAAATCTAAAATTGCGATGATAGACCTCTTAATATTAATATTATGGACTCAAACTCACCATAATTTTTTTGTCACCCCAAACAATATTTTCGATATACTTTCCAAAAAAAAAATAGTCGATTTTTTTGGCCCAGTCTACTAGACAATATATGTATTTGTTACTTTCTAAGAGTGGCAACTGCTTGTCTACGTCTCCTCGCAGCCCTGATGGCATTGAACCTTCTAACATACTTCTGCATAACAATGGCAGCTTCCCTCATCTTCAAAAACCTCCTGCGTTGCACAACACCCTTCCAGGACGCCTGAATTATGGCAGCAACAAAGTTCTTCCTCTCCTGGAAAGCATCTTCAGTGTCGAATAAAGTCTTGGGGTGACGAATGAAAATCTTCGTCTTGCCCATTTGGTAGTCCCCATCGGTGTACCCCAGGGACTTGACAAGCGCCTGTACGCCATCTTTGGCCGATCCCTTGCGGTAATTTGGCCACGTTTCCTCGCTAAGGCACTTATACCTGTGCAGGAATTGTTCGTATACTCTACGGTAGGCAAAACCTGCTCTTCTCACGCGAAGATTTTCCATGAGGCCTAGGTATCTCACTTGGTGCTTCACCAGGTCTTCATCGAACATACCTATGATAAAAAAATGTATGTTTAATTGTTTTCAGGAAGTGAGTAGGCATAAACAGATACCACACAACGTCTTGAAGATGTCTTTTGTATGTCTGTATTATGCCTGAACGTCTGAAGATCTAAAAAATACGTCTGACGTCTTAAAGATGTCTTCATTTAATGTTCTAAAGACTTTAACATCTTAAAGACGTCTTAACGACGTTTAGCAACGACTTAATAATGCCGTTAAAAGGACATCTTAAAGACGGTGTGTTTTGTAACATTAGATATCTTAAAGACGTCTTAAAGATGACTTACGTCGTAAACTGGACGTCTAAGAGACGCATAAACGTCCGAGTTCGACATCTTTAAGATATCTTTAAGATGTCTCTGTGCTATATATACTATAGTATTGGGTACCTGATTTTTTAATATCATTGGGCTTGATGCATCTAATGTATGCCGGCTCCTTGTCCCTTAATATCCCCATCAAATTGTTCAGAGAGTTCTTGAATTTGGTGATGGCAGTGTCTGGTCTTTTCTTGTTGAGAACTTCGGACTTTGTGAAGACAGTGTTAAGAATACTGTTGGATGAGTTGGACATGGCTTCTTTTAAATCGCGGAAAAGCAAATCGTTGTTTTTCTCGATGAAAGTTTTTACGTTGTAGGTAACGTGGCCAGCGTAATGAATTATCAGGAATTCCTGGAAATAAAGTATAGTTAGTTTTGTCTTTAAATTTGGTTGTTATTATTACTTACATCTCGTCCCATGGTTTTCTGAACTTTAATGCTGGCCTTTTTGTGGCTAATATAGTGATTATGGCCACTCAAGTAAGTGTTGAATTTGTTTATCAAGGTGGTGTCGTTTGGATCACCAGGTCTTAGACATTCTTCATCCATGTAGGCGATTAAACCTTTGTGTTTTTCTTCGATTAGTTCAAGAATGATTGAGTTGTCGAAATACTCGATTTTCTCCCATTTTATTCCTTCCTTCATGTATTCTTCCTGTTCGGATTTTAACGTTAAATCGATGAACAACTGGTGAAGTTTTTCGTTGCAGAAGTTGATGCACAATTGCTCAAAGCTACAAAAGAAAAAGTACTCAGATGGGAGAACAATGTAAGATAAACATTACCTGTTCCTTTCGAAGATTTCAAACCCGTAAATATCCAAGATACCGATAACCACATTTTTTCTCTTGCTACCAGATTGCAGGGAGTCGTTGATTCTACTAACCAGCCAACTAAACAACCTATCGTAGACAGCCTTGGCTAAGGCGTCTCTAGCGTAAACGGCCAGTTCCCTGTTCAACGGACTCGTCACCAAGTCCCTCACAGTTTCGATGGTCTTGTGGGTCAAAGCTTCTCTCAGCTCAGCTTCGTCGCATCCCATCAGCTTCGCCACAATCTCGACGGCCTCGCTCTTGGAAACTTTCGCTTTACCCGCTTCATGCTCCACGAACCCTATGTTGCCCAAGTGCAGAATGGCGGCCACAATTGAGAACATGTCGTGTTGCTCTTTCTCAGTGAAGTCCAGGGTCGACAGGGCCTCGGTTACTTCTCGGAAGTTCTTCTGGTCGTTTATGTTTTCCACGTTGGATTTGTCCTAAAAAAAGTTAGTTAGAACGATTTTGAAAATGATGACACCCACACAGCAAACGGAAAAATATAGAAGTGTATTGGATCACGCCACGTTTGAATACAGTTTTCTAAATCTCGCCAGGGTATAGAGTTGTATTCATCAGTCGAGCGTTTCAATACTCTCCACAGTATAGAGGTCGTAATTTCACTATTGAACTAGTATTGATATAAAAACTATTTTATGCTTCAAAAAAACTATATACGACATGATTGTGATTTTTTTCATTTTATTAATTAATTAAGCTGTGTTTGAATATTTTACTAAAGGAATAATTGCCAATGGGCCATTAATTCATTTGTTCGTAGAAGCTTTTTCATCAACCAGATTTAAATATTGTTGTACTAACATATACCAGTGGAGATAGTGCAGGGTCTACCAACAGACCTCATTACTAAATTATTAAAGTTTAATAGCATATCGATCATTTTTTCAACATAGCCTCTGACATTTTTAATACAAATATAGGTACTTTATATAATACATAAATATACTTTACATCATATCCTCTGTGCTTTACATACCCGAGTTGTTACGGTAAATAAAAATCCGACAAAGGAACCAAAGAAAGGAACTATTTTCAACAAAATCATATGCAGAAATGAGAAAATTCAAACTACTTGCATCCATCAAAAGATCAAAACTTCTTGCAATATTACACCCTCTTTTTATACTCTCAGAAATATTGACTAGAACAGTATTAGAGAGACTCCAGTTTCTATAACTTGGTAGAGTAAAGAGAAGTCGAAACCGTTGCGATATTGCATTGCGCTGTTTTTGTATAATTCTCGGGGACATTAACGAAATTCATTGCCAGTAAAATTCGAAAAGCTTGAGTTTCTATGTCTCCATTGGACTGAACCCTTTTTCAATAATTTCTAGAGACATAAATGACTGCACCATTCGACAGGGTCGAGTTTCTACCTCTCTGTTGAATATAGAAAATCAAAATAATGTATCTTGTAAGACACCTTTGAGTTTAACTTTAAATATAGTCGGGTATATGTATAGAGCCGAAAAATATAAAAACAAAGCACGATTCAATACAGTTCTGATAAAACTTTAAGATTTAGTATTCAAACGCGGAGTCATCCTATACAGTTCTATATTTTTCCGTTTGCTGTGCACTTACTCCATGGGTTAAGAAGTAATATGATTCTGGCGATTTTCTTAAGCTTAGTTTGTTGAGTAGTTCTTCATCAGCCCCGCTGAGTAGTTGGTAGAAGATATGGAAGTTCCTTTCACCTTTAACTTGACTGATAACTCTGGACTTTTCCAGTAGATAATTCAAAATGTTTCCTCCTTGTGGATTACCCTACAAAACCGTAACAAATTCTTGCCACAAAAAATGTGTCATGTACTTACTTCAGTATTAAATTGTATGTCCATATATTTTCCAAATCTGCTAGAATTATCATTTCGGTTCGTTTTGGCGTTACCAAAAGCCTCCAACACTGGATTTGACACCAATAACTTGTTTTTAACCCTCTCAACTTCGCCTTTATGATCAGTCACTTCAGCAATGTATTGAAGAACTTTCTTGGAGGCCTCTGTCTTTCCAGAACCGGACTCACCTTAAAATAGACACAAAAAAATAACAAACCCGGTTTATCCGGGCTGGATAATATGTTTTCCAGCATTATTGTATATTGTTCAATTTTCTTGGTTGCATAGTATGTTCTAACATCTCGCCGTTGTTGGCTTAATATGGCAGTATATAAGCTGAGGTATTATTTTGTTTTGGGTGTGTTCCACTACACCAAGTTGCCCGGCACTGATCAGACTCAATATAGGTCAAAACAAAACTTTGTCGAGGTGAAGGTTCAATCTTTTTTGTGTTTAGGTTTATATCTTCTCTATACAGTAAAATGGAGAAGATATATCCAGAATAAAATTTATGTTTTCCAGTATTATTCTTATTTTTAATTTGTTCATCACCATTTCGTAATTTTTAACAGTAAAAATGAAATATCTTACCGGAAATCAAGATGCATTGTTCTATTTGCTCCTCTTTCAAGGCACGATACGATGTATCAGTAATGGCAAACCTAAAGTACAAAACACTTGAAGAATATTTATCGATTTATTTATTATAATCTTACACATGTGGTGGTACTTCAAAAAAGTGTTTGCCATCATACGCCTTTACGTCTTTCGGGCCGTAAATGTTGATTTCTTTGTAGGGATTCACAGAAATTAGCACTTGTCCAATGTATGTCTAAAAATACATACAAGGCTGTTATCAATTTTGTTATCTCTGATTGGTTGTGTAATGGTTTTCTACTTACGTAAATGACATTTTCGTTGAATCTTTTCTGAAGATTTTCCACAAAAACGTCTTCACTTTGAAAATCTTCCAATAGGACCGCGTCGTGTACACCGACCCGGTCTCTGTCTTGTAAATGTCTCTCCATTGTATACCTGAAATCGAATATTATTTATTTATTCGGATGTTTCCAGCAACACTTACATGGTTAATGTTTTTATTGACTATAATAATTCAAAACTACAGCATCATCGATTTTGACGTTAATACTTTTATTATTCCAAGATAAAACTGATAACGGACAATATTTTAATTATTATCATAAATTTATGAATTTAATGTAGCATAACAAATTAAATTGATAAGGAAAAGTACCGGCTTCGTTAAATAATATCGGTGAAAATACAGGTGTCCCAAAAACACCTGCTGATTATTTTTAGAGCTTATTTCTTTTGTTTTGTAAAAAATCGCTCATATCATAATATTTTCCAAGTCTGTTTTGTGTGTTTTCGCTTAAAATTAATTTAAAAAGTCGGTTTCGATATTAAAATATAATGGTGGTTTTGTGGATTAGGTTTTAAAAGTTATATAGGTAAGTTATAGTTTCAAGAAAAATACTGGAGGGCCTTTCCATGAAATCTATATTATTAATAAAAACTTAAAATGTATGTCACTACTTTACAGAGTGAATTTTGGACACCCTGTATACATGTACATCCATATCGGTAATACCAAAAAAAAATAATGATTTTACCTAATCAAGATAAGATACTAAAATATAAGTATATTTTATGAGCTCTTAGCAATATAATAATTATTTTATACCTTTGCACTTTTATAGCATTTTATCGGATTTTTTTTAAATAAATTACTTAATTATGTGAAATGACCCATATAGAAATTTAGTCCTTGCACAGAGAAAAATCCGTTTGAAAAAAAAATTGTACAACCTGCCATAGGAGCATAATTTTCTATAAATGTGCTACGTTATCCAAGATGGTTGCAACCAATCCATGGATTGGTTTTTCTAATTAGTTTGTTTAAGTAAATTTTCTATAATTTGTTGGAAACAGAAAGATTTTATATTTAACCATTTGCACAATATTGTCAAGAAAAGAGTTGAAATCTGTTAAAAATATTTCCAAAATAATAGGTAGGTATATATTTGCAAAAAGGACTGGGATAAATCAACAATTATGACCTGGTAATCAAATGAGGATAAAAAGTGTTTCTATGTTCCTATTGTGCTATATTATTGATCAGCTTACTATTTTCTTTACTTTGTAATTTATGTTTATTTTATGTTTTAAGTTTATATTAACTTAATTTTATCCTTAAAAAATACATATTTAATCTATCGACATTTGTACTATTATAAGTGGATGTTGAATTATATCTAAATATTATTGGAATTAGCTATACGAATTTTATTTTTCATTTTGTAGTTTATTTTTTGTTATGTTTATTTTTTTTGTCAGTGTCAGTTTATATTAAGTTTAGGAATTCTATTTTCCGTATTTTTTGTATAAACAATTGAGGAGTGATTTTTCAAAAGGTCGTATTTCCATTTGCAACAATTTTTCAAAAAAATGACTATAACCTGTATAGGTTAGGGCAATATAGATTATTTAAAAAAAAATTCTGATGAATATTTAATAATACTTTAGACCTGCTGTCATATTTCTCCGTTAAAATATGCCTTTTAATCATACCTTTGGGATTTTGTAAAAAAATTACATTCAAGTAAAAATGGAAATAAGGCCTTTTGAAAAATCACTCCTCAATTATTACAATTATTTGTAACAATTTACCACAAATTGTTCCTGTCACCTTTTTAGCACCAATTTGTTGAACAAATTTATACAATTATATTTATTATACAAATTTTTCTCGTTGTAGGGGAAACCCATCCCATTTTATCTATATTAATTATTTTAATCATTACCAACACAAACAAATAGGTGGATATTTAATTTTATTAGGTAATAGACTATGTGAATAAACTGATATTATTTTTTGTTTTGCCACCTTGGCGAATTCTTATCATATTTCGCATCGGCAAACTTTAAAACACAAAATAAGCATTTCTACGTACGTTTCTATTTTTATACCTTTTATGTGTTGGTTTGTAAATGATGCAAAAGTTCAAACAAATCTGCACCAATAACACCGAAACCTAAACTGCATATCTTTCTTATTGCCTTATTCCTTAATGTATTGATAAGATTTGCTATCTTTTGATAACGTCCAATGGTATTAGCTATTATTTTTTGCAATGATTGATAGCCTTGTTTTTTATGTAATCTCATTTTTAAAAATTATGTATTCACCTTCTGTATTAGAAAATAGGGGTAGGGGTATATTTTTCATAAAATACACTTAATCAAGGTATTTAAGTGTGGTTTTATTTATATCAAACTCGACCGTACTGCTTTCTTTTAAAATTGTAATCGTTACATTGAATCACAGCCTCATAAACTCCAATGGAACAGGTTCAGGCCATTCTTAAAACGTTTATAGGACGCTTTCTTTTTGATATATCAAAAAGCGTTTTAAATAATTTAAGATATATATCAAGCTTATCCTGACGAATTTGACATGGAAGTAATATTCCAACAAGATGGAGCCCCCGCACAATAATTTAGGGATGTTAGACAGTGGCTTGATGACATTCATCCAAATAGATGGATTGGTACCGAATGGCCGGCTCGGTCTCCTGATTTAACGCCACTTGATTTTTTTGTGGGGTTAAATAAATTGAAGGTTTACACCACAGAAAAGGAATCAATTGATCATCTAAAACATCGGATTAGATGTTAATGTGCGAATATTAGACAAGAAACGTTTGTAAATGTGAGAACTGAAATTAAAAACTGTCTATTTTTGTGTCAAAAAGTCCAAGAGAAGCAAAAAGGAGGAAAAAACATTAATTTAGGAGAATAACAAATATTTAAAAAAACGTTCAACTAATTGGCCAAATGTTTTATTTTACCCAACTTTATGCATGTTATCTTAATCTTGTAAACCAGTTTTATCCAAAACGTTAAAAAGACAACAGTTGTGATTCAAGCAGTGTTGCCAACATCTTTGAAAATTTTATCGGTAGATTCCTTGGAAATTTTTGGTAGATGATGATAAAATTCTTTAGATTTAAATATATGCATAATTTTTAGTAAAAAAACAGGGAATAGAAAAATATTTATTAAAAATAAAAAAAGATCTAATAAAACCAATAACATAATAATGTTGACTATTTCCCTCGTCTTAATTTCCACCAATCACAAACGCGCAATTTTGAATTACAAATGGTTTCTAGGTGAAAAAACTGTGTGACAGCACCTGTCAGCAGTTTATTCGAGTTTACCCGCGGCAAAACTTGACAGCTGTTGTCACCAAAAATTGCAATTTATATTTTAATTGTTAACTGTTACTCGTGAAATAGTCTTGTCAAATACCATTCGGGCATCTAATTTTTCCTGTGAAAAAAATCGAAAAAACACAATGCTAAGTAATATTTTTTAACAAAATGCATTCGTGCAGGTGCAAAAATCCTCTTCGACTCGGATTTTTGTTGCCACCAGCACTCATGCTTTTTGTTAAAATATTACTTAGCAACGTGTTTTTTCGATTTTTTTCGGAAAAATTAGATTCCCTTATGATATTACTTACGACTATTTCCCTCGTCTTAATTTCCACCAATCACAGACGCGCAATTTTGAATTACAAATGGTTTCTAGGTGAAAAAACTGTGTGACAGCACCTGTCAGCAGTTTATTCGAGTTTACCCGCGGCAAAACTTGACAGCTGTTGTCACAAAAAATTGCAATTTATATTTTAATTGTTAACTGTTACTCGTGAAATAGTCTTGTCAAATACCATTCGGGCATCTAATTTTTCCTGTGAAAAAAATCGAAAAAACACAATGCTAAGTAATATTTTTTAACAAAATGCATTCGTGCAGGTGCAAAAATCCTCCTTTTCGATTCGTATTTTTGTTGCCACCAGCACTTCTTGTTAAAATATTACTTAGCAACGTGTTTTTTCGGAAAAATTAGAGGCCCTTATATGCATATCATGATATTACTTACGAATATTTATGAAGAGAAATGTACCTAACAAAAAATAATAAAATTGTAAAAAATAGAAACACAAAAAAACGAATAATATACATAAATCAAAAGAACAAACGCCGTTAAATTTTGCATAAAGTTGAATGTTCTGTAAAGGCAAATCTACACAGCAAAAAGCAAGAATAGAAATCTGTTTATTGTATCATGGAGATCTGCGATGAGTACCGTCGTAGTACAAATAATTTCGGTAAAACAGTTTTACTACAAAAATAGAAATCTGCAATACCGACTTAGTACGCCTTTTGTACAAATGATTTCGGTAAAAACATTTTTAATCACATAAATATAAAATACTGTTGTCTAAGTATAATATTTTTATGCAATTTAATCTAAAAAAAGTTATATTTTTGGACTATTGCAAGATTTAGTCTATCGATAGATCGGTAGAATTTTTCAGAAATCGGCAGATCTACCGAAAATTCGGTAAGGTTGGCAACACTGGATTCAAGAGCAGGAAGCAAAAAATGCCTTGTTACTTATTTAGGTTGTGGAAGACAATGAACGCAACGCATTACATAATTACGCATACAATACGACCCACGCCAAACAAAAACGTAAAAAATAACAATTGCCGTTCACGCTGAGACATCTGTCAAAATAAAAGAAACAGGACTTTTGTTCAGCTTTTAAATTCGTTTTCGGTGATTGCTTGTTACAAAACATCGTTTATCATTTCGATAATGGAGACCTGTCGTAATTTAATGATTTGACTTAAATGGTAATATATTACCATTACATACTGCATACGGTTTAAAATATTTTATTGTGCAATTTTTCGGGGAAAAGGGTACATTTTTTAAAGAATTTGTATATGAACTGATAATAAAACTAATGGCTATAAAAAATGTACCACCTAAGGTACCTTTTTTATTAAAATTTCTTGGGACAAAAACCTATGATTTGTCAAAGTAATGAGATTATTTTTATTTACAGAATAAACTTTTTTTACTGTTATAAAATTCTCATTTACTATAATGAAGCAAGAATGTTGAGCTTTTATAAAAAAAATGTTCATCCAACCACAATCCAACAAAGTAATAGTTGTTATCATATTGCCATGGAAATAAGAAATACTTTATGTTTATATTAAATCTTTGTCGAACTTAAAATGTTTTTGTTAAATCTAGACTTGTGTGTGAATTGCGCTTACATAAAGTAATACGC